TCAACCTACGATTGCGACAACTTCGATAAATTAAACAGCTTGAAGTGAAAAATACCGTAGCCCACCCAATATTGAATACAACAATGATCACCAGCATTTGCGGGCTGCAAATAGTCGTCTGTTGAAGGTTTTAGGACAAAATTAGAGAAAATAGACCTCCTAGTATCGAAACCGAAAAAACAAGCCTGAATCTGAGCTCAAGTCAGTGCAACTGTTCATAGCGACATAGTAACCCTATTTAGACCTACTGATGGCTGAGGAATAATTCGAACAGATGGTCTTTTGTAGCCAATTTGTAGTATACACAATTAGTAAATTCATGCTCGCTGAAACACTCCCCATTTGTAAACTTCCACCGAAACCGAACTGCATAGGAAAATTGTAAGATGACTTCTGTATTGATAATTCGTTCTACTGAAGATTTGGATGAAGAAGATGGAGACCTAATTTAATCGAAATATGAAGAGAGAAGGCGAATTACAGGACCGAAGAGCTGACTATTCGCAGGTAAGTTGAAAGACCGACTTTTTGTGAAGATAATATGAAACACTACGTAGGTTTAGATAGCATCGACATCTAAAACAGCCAAAACGTTCGCATAAAGTGAACAAGAAAAAAAACTACCATATAACACCAAAAACATGAACCGTTTGGAAGGGTGCACAAGCGTAACCAGCCAAGCCGACCCTGAGAGCTACGTGATGCATTCATTGGTTAGAGGCCGATTAGTGTGGACAGCGATGGTCTGGGTCCTCCACTCCTACATACTTTTCCTGTACTGTATAAGCGAGACATGCCGCTGTCTGGTGCCCTCTGTCGTCTGAGCGTGCAAGCGACAAACTCTCTGCATTCACCTGCGCCTATGATCCCAGTCAGGCCAGCCAGCATCACATGACGAACATAACGGAATCATTGGAAAAACGAGGAAAAAAAACGACCGGTATTGATCGGCATTTCTTGGAAGTTTACGGGAATCCGGATGACTCAGATGACAAATGATTATGAACGATCACAAGCAGACTAGTTAAGGACAAGGATCGATCATGTAACGTCACTCAGTTTTTCATGTTGCATTGAATGATTAGTGGGAACAGTTCGTGGCCAGTGCAATGAAGAAGACGAATTACAGACATCCATCACAAGCGATAAAAGGTAAAGAGAATCTCAAGCAAAGTTATTCGGTTTTGTTTTATACAAGTACTCTCTCGGGAAACAACACATAACATGTGGTCGATCCACATTACGGAGTTCTTAACACACTGTAAAATCAGTGACGAAGTAAAACCTGAGAAAAAAAAGTGTTCCGAAAAACCTCACAACTTTTCTAAAAGACATAGAAGTACCTAAGAGATAATGATATTGCGAAATCCTTGTGTCTTTTTGTAGCTAAGACACTCATCAAAGCCTGGACGGATATCTCTCATGCGAAGGATGTCGAGCCGCTTAGTTACAAAATGCTCCGCAGTGCTACATTCGTCGATGATGGAAAGATATAATGGCGGTCAAAAGTAGGTAGAAACGACCACATAGTTCTCGTTAGGGATTCGCATAAAATTAGCTCTTCATTACTGACTTTCACCCTCTGTATATGTCTTATCATATTCCTTCATACAAACGTCGATCTTCATAAGTCAGTCGTAATTTGTCCTGCACAGTGATTTGAGCAAAACCTACCAACAAGTGTTAGGAATCCTCAAAGAAAGCTACTGGACGTCGTATTCACGAAATAAACTCTACATCTATTTCTGCATAGCCCAACAATCTACCTATGGGTACGTACACCATCACTCCCGTTTACGAAAGCAGCTGATGAACTGGGTTACCTGCAGGTACTGTACAGCCAAAAATTTTGAAAATAACCCTTTATTATTATCAAGGGTATTAAAACAAAACGTATGGTGCTCCTAGTCATCAGGGACGAAAAGAAACATGGGTGTTCGCTCAAATAAACAGATTATTTATGAAGTTCGAGATAACACAGTTGCTAAAGCTCTCACGATTTTCCAGAAAACATAGAAGAACGTAGAAAACAGAACGCGGCAAAATTCATCCGATTCACAACCAAAGGGAAAGAAAGACATTACAAAACAAGATATCCACAACATTCTACTTTTACGGGTTTCGTTGTATGCAGTTCTCTCTGTTAGAGATAGAATAGAGACAGGAAGCGATCACATTGGAACTACACGTGAGAGGCGTGGCTCATTTCCAAAGTATTTATTTTGATATGGAGACACTATACAAAACGACTTGAGGGTCTGATGGAAAATTCTCGACAAATGTAATAGAACAGTATAAATGTATAACGTATACAGTATTTATGCAACGTATATAAAAGAACGTGAACGGGCGCGTGAGGCTCAGTCAGTGGTCGGAAGCGCCCTGCAACACACACGTGGGATCGATTCCCCGCCCGTGGCTCACCAAGGCTTCCATCCCTCCAGGGCTGGCAAATTGGCACCAAACTTGTCTAAGAGGACAGCAGCACTAGCTCAATACGTCAGCAGATACCACGAGTCATGGTAAAAGGCTTCGTTGCCCACACTAATCGCCCTTAACCAAGGAATGCATTCAGTCACCTCCAACGATGCTTAATGAAGTCGAATGCATGACGCTTTCCTCAGGGAATTAATCAAAGCCGAGAGCTTTATCCTTTTTTACATAAAAGAACATCTAATCGGTAAACTTGATGCTAACCAAATACTCCACTGTGCGCGCACTAGACACAGGAGTATAACGAGGGAAATTTTAAGTAGAAGTTACCATCCTCGCACAGGAATCGAGAACTTCAGCGCGCACATCCTCGAAGCATTCTGGATAAATTCCAAGAATCCAAAAATAAACTTCAGGGAGGAATGTCTTGTTATCACACGTTACTTCACACAACATCTTAGACTGATATTTTAACGTGAGCGGAGCACATTACTGATCAATATGAACTGTGCTTAGTCTCCAAATGGAGGACTCAGTAGAAGACTGACAGAAAACGGTGAGCGTGTAAGGTTGCTTTTTTGTTTCCAATGCGACTGAAATCTAGACAGCGTGGTTTTTTATAGATTTGAAAAATTCGCAATCCGCCGAAGCGTCAGCTTTTATGGCCAAATAGATAGCATAGTAACCTCGTGTTTGGCTATCAACAGAAGAAAGAATTATTAATCAACGCCGAAGTTACTAGAAAGTTGGCCGTGGAAATATGATAGGGTTACAACGATGTGAAAAAAGCCTTCAAATGACGAAAGACTGGAGATGGTAACGCAGTCCAGAAAAATGAATGTGGACGGAATTCATTGGTAAGTCTCTCACTATCATGGTGCATAGTTTATCCTTAGCATATTAAGACGATATCAGCATAATCGGAGGAAAGCGATGTACCATGCAAGAACATCAGTTATAGGACACAAAGCATATGATACTAATGAAACTCTATCGCAAAACGACGTTAAAATGCGATCGAAGGTGATCTTATCGATAAGGCCACGAAGCCGGAAGAACGAAGGGATCAACCGTAATATATTGTTAACTGAATCATCTGTTTCGGACTTATTCAATACGATGGACCCAATCACCTGGTTGTTTTTGATAACACACTAATGATGCATGTTCTTGGCTATGGAAATGCGATATATAACCCTGCTGGTTCATCTTCAAGGCAAGGATGGTTAACTAAGCTTCCCTAATAAAAGCCGGCAAATGCTTTTGGTGAAAAGCCAGGAACACATCAGCACGGCTATATGGGGTCGTCGAGAAAGGAAAAATAGTTTCTCAATGAGTGGAATATTATTGCAATCAAAACGATGTCATGCACAAAGCTATGGACGGACTTGTGAAGAACGCTCATTAAAATATCAAGGACACTTCAATTTCGCCTAAACGATTACCCTTTGTTCTCATGGAGTTAAATAGTAGTCGAAAACATGATGGTTTGTACTTTTCAATGCCTAACAAATAAAAAGACAGTTTTCAATCCTGCCGATGCTCCATAGAAATCGTCCATCAAAGGTCACAACAGTGTGATTATGACCGCGCATTAATAATGAGGATAGAGATGATAAATGACGATGAGAGGGACGAATCGAATTACAAACACTCTTTGAATACGAAGTATTGTTGGATCCATGAATCGTACGATAACAACAAACGAGTACCAATTAGAAGGCGATGACCATCACAAACAAATTAACATTATTGTGTACGCGATGAACTCCTCTTTTGCAGATTAATGGAACTAATCGGAAGAGATATTCACGTATTTGACACAGTTGCGAAGAAGCCGGTTTTTCGACAACAGATGAAAATCTTCCGCCGAATGAAGTAGTGGAGGAGTTGAAAACTTTAAAGAAATGTAGAAGACACCTTGATCAGTCACAATGTTGTATATAATCCCTACAAAACATCCTTTGAATTCTAAACTTATTTAGGATCAGAAATCTCAAAAAATCGAAGAAAAACGATATTCAAACTTTTAAAAACTCCTGTAAAGGCGGGGCAGCTGTAAAACCCACCAAAAGATTGGGGACAGGATCATGTCTTCTTCTACGATATACCGCTCGTTCAACTATTTTCACATCCAAAATGCGAATCCTGACCCAAAAAAGGAAAGAAGGGATACATTATGGGGTTTAGCAGATCAGAACTGAACTATTAGGATAGGTTGAAGCTGGTTGACAGAGAGCTGTACATTCTATTTTCTCTCATTAAAGTCGTCCATAAACTGAGATATGTCACTTCAAAGTTGAAAGCTTTCTTCAATTCTACATCGAATGACTCCACATGAGGTCACGTTGTCGTGAATATGTTAATATCCGGAAAAGTAATGGATATTTTTGTAAGTTAATAGCAAGAGAAAGTAAAAAGGGAGCACTGTGTGGATAGATCGAAGGAAGGGTATAATTCTATTAGCTGTAAATCTTCAGAACTAAGTATTATAACCTTGACATCCTCCCTTCCTTCCATCCGTGTGGAATTATGGGCAGCGATGTCTCTGGAGTGAAGACTGTGATTCATCCGTCAGACATGGCATTCATGGTTGGGAAAGAGACACGTCGATTTGAAAATTGGGTTTCCTTTAAACCAAGGTCAACAACTGCGGCTGCTTTGGAATAGAAGCAGACACAAGATGTCAAAGCTTCCTTGATGAGTAACAAAGCGAGCCACTGTCCGCGAAAAAACCCTCTCATTGCTTTTACGCGAAATAGGCAAGATATCTATAAAAGAAACTATGCACAATCATTAGGATTTACTAAGAGCCAGAGTTCCAACTAACAATGAAACCTTAGCAAGAAAAATCAAGAGAAAAAATTTAAAGCAATTAAGCGACGATCATTAGAGGTGGAAACATGTCGCCCTCAACGGCTTTTGATCCGAAATTCATCGAAAGGCTGATATGCATGGTCGGTTTTGAATTTAGTAGGAAAAGGAGCATGTAGATGTAGAGGAGAACATTATCAACAACAACTACGCAACAAGCAACGGTACATCAGCAAGAATACCTTGTTTATAACATAAAGTATAGGAGCAGCCGGTTTTAATCATCCGTTTACGGGTGGCGCTATGCATTTGATTCCATTCACAACACCGTAGTAGTCAAATGCATATTTCGCCTAAACAACGACTTCCGAGAATCCGTCGGTGCAACAAGCCTTTTTTCCTATACCCCCAGACAAGTTTAGTACCAATCTTCCGAGTCCGAATGGTTGTGGGCTTGGGTAACCTAGACTAGGAATCGCACTAAAGACAATGTGTTTATTGCAGGATACGTCTAATCGCTGCGCTACATGCATGCGTTTAAAAAGTATAGGATACAAATAGGACCAGAACAAAATACTGTAGCAAAATATCAACAAATCAAATAAAACAAGTCTTGTGGCTGTGGAATAATACGCAAAAACGGACGATATAAAGTAAATAAAAAAGATAACATATCAATAGTTCCAATAAAAGTGGAAAACAGTAAGGTTCAGAATAATAAAGTAATGAAAAATTACAGACTTCTACAGTTACAGTCTATGTTGTCGCTTTTCAGATAGATCTCATCGAACAGCAATTAAAGGATGAAAGATAAAGCTCTCGACGTTGATCAATCCCTGAGGGATGCACCATGCATTCGACTCCATTAAGCATCATTTGGAGGTAACTGAATGCATATCTGGCCTTTACAATGACTCGTAGTGGCCAACCGATGCATCTAGCCAGTGTTGCTATCCTGCCAGACAAGTCTAGTACCAATTTTGCGAACCCGGGAGGATGGAAGGCTTGGTGAGCCACGGGCGCATCATGTGCGTGTTGCAGTGCGCCTCGGACCATTGAGCCACATGCGCCCTTATTATCCTCAATATCTCTAATTTTGTTATATTACGCTTAATTATCAAGACTTCTCAAATAAATCACTAAGCCTACACAGTTAAAACAAACGCAGAGTCGTGAAAGTAGGATGGAAAGAAAACATTTTTCAAAACCAACAATCTCTCAGAAACAAAAAAGAAGATTGCATTTCCTTAAAATGGTTAGAATGTGATAAAAAGGGTTTACAAAGAATTATTATCAACGTTATATTAAATGAAAACTACTCGACTACTCAAGGAATTCACATGTTTTGCCATATATTTATCAAGTATGGTAAATACCACGGATTTTCCTCGTATAAGGGATCTCGGGCCGGTCAGTCACGAGGCGACATGGCGCATCCCCAGGTGGCGGATAGCGGGTTAATCGCGGACTAAAAGCGACCTTTGCTTCCCTGAGACGCAGGTGGATCCAGGGGATAGACTCTCTGTTTCTGTTGCACTGATTTGGCACATACTTTCTGTACTTACGAGGAGTATTTATGCAAGCGTGTGTTGGTGCGTTCTAGTTTATGCGGATTGTATTCTACGAGTCAATTCGGCCAAAAGCCTGTAATTCAGTGAAAGTATATGGCAGGCAGATAGGAGTCGTCTCCAACAAATAAGCTCGCTCCATGTCCACTCTGGGAGAGCCTAGAAAGCTACCCGTGAGCATACCCAGCCCCACGTTCAGAACGAAGCAAGCTATACGTGGGTATCAAAAATGCTAAACACAGTAAATAAAAAAAACGGGCCTCATCCCCTGACCCCGAAATAGCCCCCAATTTCGCAGCGTTGGATAAGACGAGTACGGTGAGGCTGCTAAAATCTCAGGACCAATGGAAGCTGCTTAGATTTCAAAGAACTATAGTGACGATCTGTAACTACAATGCACGTACATTTGCATCCGACTCCACAATAGACTTCCTCATGCAAGCAAAAAGGATAAAGTACGACGTCATCAACCTGGCTGAGACGACAAGACGCCAACCTTTCAACGCCGTCTATGACACCAGAGAAGAACTGTTCCTCGGAACATGCGACAGTAGAGGAGTTGGCAGCGTCAGTGTTCTCGTCAACACAAATTTGTTCACGAACATCGACTCATTCGAATAACTTACAACCCGAATCGGTCGTTTACGATTAAAAAGATGTGGATCAATTCCGTCTTCGACAATCTTCGTCGTTTACGCGCCGACATAAACCACGACAAAGAGGAAATCGAAGCGTTTTAATATGGACTTGGAAAAGTTCTACAGAGAAGGCCACACATTCTTTAAGGTTATCATTGGAGATTTCAACGCCAAAATCGGACCAAGAAGAACGTCTGAAGAACGTTTCATTGAGACCCACGGATTAGAATGGAATGAACAGGGTGAGCGGCTGTCTGAGTTTACCATGATGAACATTCGTGGTAACTCGCAATTCCAGAAGCCCACCCTCAGCGGTGGAGGTAGGAGCCTCCCAATGGAGAGTACCATAAATTACGAAATAGACCACATCATAGTAAATAGATGGTTTCGCCTAACCGATGTCGCTGTTGTCCCAAAATTCTAGATGGGATCAGACCACCGTCTCCTTCGTGCAAGATTCCATTCCCCGATGAAAGGAGAAAAAGCCGCTAAATTCCAAAACCGAAGTCCCAGAACCACCGTAAACTGGGACTTATTCAATTCATTAGTCGGCTGTTGGAAAGATGCCGTTGTCGATAACACCGACGAAGAATACGATCGGCTCATTCAACATCTTCACGTTAGCGCTACGAAAGCTCAGAGTTCGCATGGTGCGGTGGTGAACGCGTTACTCCCCGGAAAGGACAATAGCGCGTTCGTTCCCCACCATAGACACCTGCGGTACAGAGTTTTGCAAATATCTCAGCAACGTTGTGGTTAAAAAACGATGTTTCATACAGTCGATAGATAAAGCTTTTAACACAAAGAACCATAGAACCACAATGATGTTGAGATATTTGCAAAACCCCGGACCGCAAGTGTCTGCGGTGGGAAACGAACGCGCTATTGTCCTTTCCGGGGAGTAACGCGTTCACCACCACACCACCATCCGTAGTCCGTTTCGCCTGCCTCTCAGCTAGTTCTGCTGATCAGTGCCATCAACAATCACCCGTTCGCGGGATTTATCTGGGGAGCCCACATCGACATTGAACCCAGTCAAGATGAGGCTGTACTTGAAATCACAATGTTTTAAACTGGCTTTCTGCCTACTACAACTCATAGATTATATAACATTTGTATACAATTTATTACCACTTACTACGTACTCCACGCAGTGTTGGCGATAAGTGAAGCTTGAAAAGTACTTCTTGTCAGCACCGAAAGAACGTAACGATAACTTAGTCGACAGATAGTGTGAAGGAATCACTGTCTTCTTTATAGAAAACCGTGGTCACAAGGTGGTGTGCTCCCACCATTCTACGAGAGATTAAGCGCTTGTGGTGAAGGGTAACGCCGTGGCAGATGACTAAGGATTCCAGGGAAAACGACAATCGACGCAGGGAGCATTCAATATCACAAACAGAAGCGAGAGCAAAAAATCTTAAGCTGCAAAAGAGCCCATACATAAGTCCGAAGATTTTTTATGGATGACAGTCATGCTTTAAAAAAGGCTACCTAATTACCTAAGTGACTTCTTCACACATAATGGACAGATGTTGAGAAAAATCCTCCAAAAAAGTACGTTTTTTAAAAAATGAACTGCAGCTAATTAGTTACGGCGAGAATCATTAGGCCACCTATGACGATAGGCATTACAAAGGTCGAGCACTGAATGATAGAACGACAAACTCTGCCGCGACGATAAAAAGTTGAAAACTTGAATTCAAATCCGTCTACAATTTACGTAGGAATAACAGTTGAGATCTTACTACCGACTTCTAGTAGTCGTTTAGTATTGAAATGATGATGAGTCACAACGGTGAGCAAATATAAGACCCTTATCGACTGACTGAACAAGACAAAGCAAGCGGCGAACTTGGAGTGCACTCTACCGATGGCTCTCGCTGAATTCCCGACAGTTATAGTCACACTTGGCCAGCATTGATTATTCACCAGGGAAAGCAAACAGAGCCAATCTAGCAAATATCAACCACCATTAACCTATCGAGAATAACGTACACACACACACACACACACACACACATGCATAGATACATACATACACACATACATACATACATACACAAACACCACACAACGATAACCTCACTTCCCAGTTCATGTTGACACTGTGTCATTCACTAAACGACACACACACTTGGAATTTCCTCACATGCAATGAAAAAAAGTGAAAGATATTAGCAAAGAAGTCTGTCGATACAACAAAGCCAATCATTCAATAAACTTTTTATGATCGCACAACGGCTTAAACATTTGCAGTGTTTTCAATGTGTATCTTAATATCTGCTAATTAAAGTAATAGTGTAGAGTAATGCTAATTGTACCGGGTGGTGTAGTGGTGAAGTGCGCTGCTCCCCGGTAAGGACAACAGCGCGTGTTCGTTCCCCACTGCATACACCTGTGGTCCGGAGTTTTGCAAATATCTCAGCATTTCATACGAGCTAATTGTACCATTAAAACAGATAGTTCCAAAGAAAACCAATTCAGAAGTTTATCCATCAAATCATTCAAAATGAATCGTTACCAGACTGAGTGTCAGAATAACCAAATAGCGAAGCGTGCCTGAGTGAGCTAGCGTCAATCTCTGCTCAAAGGAGAAAAGCTTAGTAGAACTAGAATCCCACAGATTTCATAGATTGCCATTATGCCAACAATACGTCCAGAGTGCTACGTCCAGAGTATTTTGGCAAAGATGATGAGATCCTTTTTGAACTCGACTGTTCGAGCTCGTCTAAGATCGCAGAACACTTATTGGAGAAAGCAACTAAACGATAGCTAAAGCATTCTCTAAAAGTTTCAGAAATCGGAATCGGCGTGTTACATCGCCCACGATTGTTCGAGACATATAGATGACAGGTTTTAAGCTCACAGTTGAATTGAAGAAATTTTGTTCCCAGTACGACATATGGGGACGGACCATCTATGTGTCTAAACAAGTCAGTAAATTCCTATTATAGAAGCAAAGTATGTTCTTAATTTTAGAAATTTTGAGCAAGTTGGTTACAATTCTACTTATAAAAGAGAGACCACTTTTTAATTTATTTACTAGGAAGGGCTAGTCGATTTATTACTACACCTTGAGATGTTCGTGTGATGTTCATTACATAAAGAAAATAGATGGGAGGGAGATAGTATCAGGAAGAAAAGGCGCTAGTTCGACCTCCTTCCCAACGCTCTCCTCCAATCCAAGTAGGAACGGCTTAGCCCGGCTATCTCCAACATTGCAAAGAGAATCGACTCGACTACCATTCTACGACATCCATGAGGAAAACGAAATCCTCAAGCAGCAGCCGAAACAACACACAAAATGTTCGAAGTTCATGTGTACGAGGAATGTGCGGAATACGAATCGAATGCAAGAGGCGCTGGGAACCGCACAGTGGATATGATGAGGGGTCATATAAAAAAGAGGAAATAGATGATATTGATGTTGATAAAACCACGTAGCGAGACTCAGCAACATAAACACGTTCTTGTTAATTCGTGGTTTCCTTCAAATCTGAGTTCCTACAGAGAAATTAATGGAACTATCCAATTGATCCAAAGCGGCATAAAAGTGCTCCTCAAAAGCTTTCCGGAAAACGAAAAGAATTGTAAGAGCAAAAAAGAACATATCAAACTTCTGTCACCACTGGATCTACATGAAGAATAAATCTCTCAACAGAAGCACAAGAAGCTACTAGATCCCAAAACTAAGTCACCCAGAAAATCTCGCTTATTCTGATAATTGGACAGAACAAGAATAAAGCCTGACCAGTCTGAAAGCAGACTTTTTTGGTGCCGACAGCTGTGGTCGCCGCAAAGTTCGTTGTAGGAATACAAGGTCAACTGGACCTGGTTCCGTTGTTTTCCTAACAATGATCGATTTTTTTGGATTGAAGAGGATTCAGAGTAGGATTGAAAGTAATATTAGCAAATTTCAGTTAGTAATGCGGCACAGAGAGAAGTCGATTGAATAAACTGTTATAACTGTGTAACTTAATGACTGACTAAATCTCATTGTTTGCTTAGCTGGATGAGAATGAATTCTATTCCCATTGTGAAAGCAAAAAGTTGGGAGACTGAACTAGAACGAATCGTTTTCAGTTATGTGAAAATAAGAAAGCTAACAATAACTCAGCAAATCAGACTACGAAAAAACCAGAACATTTAGTAGTACCATAAGCAAAAGAAGACAACCCAATCCTTCACTACTATGTGAATTTTTTAAGAAGTCGGTCCTACTTTAACACGCAACATGAATTGTTAACGTGAAAACAATCTTCAGTGAAAGAAAAATAAATAAAGGATAAAGCTCTCGGGGTTGGTCAATCCCTGAGGGATGCGGATGCACCATGCATTCGACTTCATTAAGCATCGTTTGTCTGTGTGTTTTGCAGGGCGCCTCCGACCAGTGCGCCACACCCACACACAAGAAATACTAAATCTTAATAGGTATATGAAATTTTAAAGCTAAGCTTAATTAACACGGAAATATCGGCTTTACTAATTTACTAATACCTACTAAAATTAGAATTAAAAAGCATAGAAACAAGAGATGGCGGGTACCAGTTCACTTATTTTTCAAGTTGTCACCGAACAGAAAGTGTTACAGGAAGTGAGAGCGATATTCGGGCGATTGTTTGATATAACAATTGAAACTCAAATAAGGGAGAATATCTTAAGTGAAATCCTTTGCTTTAGCAAAGCTCGTAAAAGATTTCCGTTGCCCTGCTTAGTGTTCACTCTTTGTTGGTTAACAAACCCTAACCTTTTCAACTAATAGGTCATGTAACTGACACAATTTTCCACGCCTTGAGGTGAGGACTTCAGCTATGTTTTCCTATTCACAAAAGACAACAATTTCCACTTTTCACCAACAGTAAAGATATTTTTTGACTATATTCATGACTTCAAGGTACTAACGGGACGTTCAACGAACCTCCTTCATGCAAAGAACTTCGAGCCACTGAGTTCAAGCGAGATTACATGATGTGTCGTCAGGTGTCGGATAAATAATATAGAGATGAAAAATCACTAAGAAACGACAACGAAGTTGCTTTGAGAAGAATATTCATTCGAGGGATGGATTCCCTCTATTTTATTCTGGTCTTTCATCTGCCACATGCACATAGTAATGTTCCCAACTGCATGTGAGAGTGTGCACGGATTCTACTTTTCTCTTCGATTTGATCAAAATTCTATGATGTAGCTAGCGCCTGTGACGTATATGGACGATTGTCCAAAGTCGTACACAAAAAATAACTCCGAATTTATGCTGGAATAGTTTGAAAAGTCGCCCACGACAGGCATTTTGTTAAAACAGTACAAATAAATTGCTTCAAACGAATAATGTAAAAAGTAAAAGATAAAGCTCTCGACGTTGATCAATCCCCGAAGAATGCGCGTGCATTCGACCTCATTAAGCAACGTTGGGGCTCAGTAAATGCATATCTGGCCTTTACAATGACTCGCGCTGGCCTACCGATGTATCCAGCCAATACTTCTATCCTCCCAGACAAGCTTGGTACCACTTTGCCGACTCCGGAGGGATGGAAGGCATGGTGGGCCAAGGGCGCGGGATCAATTCCACGTGTGTGTTGCAGGACGCCTCCGACCACTGCGCCCGTACATGAATGAAAAAAGCAAAATAAAAACTGATGAAAGAGCGAATAGTGTAATGTTGTTATATCAAGCGAGCTGAACCTTTTGACCGTTCTGGAACGTAATAGTGCCAAATGGAGACTTCACTGGTGCTCGCTCGAGTCGTTCGATAATCAATAGAATTGGAGATATTTCTAATTTGAGATGTTGAATATGTGCCACCAATTTCATGATTAAAGCCAGCAAGTGTAGCATAGAAGCACAATGGTCATCTTCAATTCATCTGCTTAGTGTTGGACATGCGAACACGTCTGAGAACCCCTCAATATCTAATTCAGACAGTCACCAAGCATTGTGCGATTATCAAAGCCAAAATGCCTCTATCGTAATCGAGTAACTCGCTTCAAACAATCCGTGAGATTTATTCAGAGTCCGATATGCACCATCAACTGAAGAGAGGACGCAGACTAAATATCCATTTGTTTAGGAGAATAGCTGTGGAGACCGTCCATTTTCTTCAATAACACCTACGACTACTGCGAATAGTCTGTCGACCGATACAAGACGGTATGGTAGATCGAATCCTAATTAAGATTAAGCGTCAGAAAGGTAGAAATCACTTCAGGCTTACAGAAAGAAAATAGAAGTCCTGCATGAATTCTTCAAAAATTGACTATGAATGGAAAAATAGCACAATACATCTTGGCGAAAGCAGTATTCCAATAATCTCAACCTGCTTGTGCATGATCATAACTACAGTGTACCAAGCTGCCACCACTATCCAACAAAAACAAAAAGGCAGGTTAAAAACGAAGACGTTAAGGACAAAAGAGCTGCCGATCACCCACCTTTCCTGTTGCCTTTTTGTACCTTACAATGGCGGCTTCAGCCAAATCCGCAACAGTGGAATTCTCATCATGACATGGCACTACCACACGCACGTCTCCAAAATGCACCGTAACCCGACGTTTCATCGGCGCTGAAATAATATAGGTACGATTAAAAATTTCGAGAACCTGTCAAGTATACTATGCCATTCATAAAGGAGTTATACTTCCGAACGAAAATAATCAAATAATACCACCGAACACGTTAAGGACAAACGTCATGAGCAAGACGAAAGACTGCTGTACAAAGGAAAGCTTTGGTCAATAAGACAACAAATCGAGGAATTAACTCAAAATACCTTCTATAAAAATCGGCATTAATAGTTGATATATGTAATTCTTTCGAACTGCCCTATTTAAGCTAACACGAGGTGGGTATCAGTTGTTGTCGTTGACGTTGTTGTTGTTGTGATTCGAAGGCTGACGTTTCTACGAGTTAGCCTTCTTCAAAACCTGGACGGATTTTAAGCAATGTTATTCATATAATTTGATGAGCTATCTATAGCACTAATTAAGATCTATTGAATGAATGAACATATCTATACATAAATATAGCAATCAATATCGACAATTAAATAAAGAGTGGGTCAACACGGAAAAGAGAGCGGATTTATAGTCTTTAGTTATCTCTCAGCTCAAAAATGATCAACCATTGTCTTGTATCGTCCTATCTTGTTACTCGTTAAAACATATAAGCTCATTTCTATTTATTATCTTGGGTCCACTAAGCCATCATCATTTAAGGTTAGACCTATCATAATTTGTACAAGTGGGCCAACAGACAAAACAACATGGTTCCCAAACCTTATCCTGACCCAGTTGCTAAAATTCGTATTAACCCATCTGCCCAATACCAAAGTATTTCTAGATCACCTACGGTGCACCAATCCAAACAGCGCGCATTTAATGGAATCATTTGATGTTATTTAACTTTATGTCAATGTGTCCAATGACTCCGCTATGCAAGCCATTCTCGAGCTGCTCGTAGAGCATGGAAAGAAAGTGAAAATTTACGGTTTGTTGTCGATTGCACAACTAATGAGTCTCTCAAAACCGTGTCTTAGTTGCTCAATCTTTACGTGGTCTGGAAAATATTTTGCATAAATTAAAGGGTTGGCCATGGGAGAGGGATTAGCGCCAAACCTTACCATCTCGATCGATCGCCGACCCTTACTCTACTATCGATACATCGACGGCTGCTTCATCGTCTGTTCTACACAAGAAAAGATAAATGAGTGCTTTAAATTGTTAAACAGACAGAGATAAAATTCACACGTGCAAAACCATCCAAGAACTGGCTTCCATTGTTAAACAACAAATAACCAAAATTGTTTCCAACCTAAGTAAGATCCCCTTCAAGCTACCTTTCATATCAAACGAAATAAGTTACACCGTTAAGAGCTGCTTAAGAAAAAGTGGTCTTGAAAACTATGTGGCGACTATTGACTTCCCACCAATACCCTATGCCACCAGTTAGTTCGCAACCGCTTCTATTATCGCGCAGCTCAGAAAATTCAGGCACAATATACTTGACTTCATGTAAGGAATGCGGTAAGGAATACAGTGGGGAAACGGGTGGACCGTTTTGTGTCCGCATAAAAGAATATCTGGATGGGAAGTTTAAAATTCGACAAAGTACTTTGTCAGGTACATATACGGCATAAAAACAAAGACTACTTTGAAGTGACTGTTAGGATCCTAGCGAAGGAATCAAAGAGAACAATGCGAAGGACTCTTGAAGCGTCCTAGTATAAATTTGAAAAATCCAGAAATGAACCGGAAAGACGAAGGTCTCACTATCACATGTGACCTTCCACCTTTGTTCGAAGTGATTTTTCAGTCTAGATAGGGTTCATTCGTCGTCACACGTGAACAGTACACAAATTGTCGCCACCTAAGAAAATGCTGAGCAGTTTTTGAACAGCATAGCACACTTTTATATAACAGATCCTCATTAGTAGTATAGATAGTATAGATAGATAATTATATGAATACCTCTTTTATTTAAAAAAAATTAAAATTTAATTAAAAATTAAAATTAAAAACTAAAAATTAAAAAGTTTAAAATAAAGAGATAAAATTATATAAATAGCGTTACATAAAATGCGTTTACGCTCTGAAGAAGGTGAAGCCACCGAAACGCCATCCACGGAATCACGACGTCAACAACAAGTGATACCAACCCCACGTCAGCTCCACAAGGGCAATTCGTAGGAATTAAATCGAGAACTTTTATATCACAGACTAACTGACGGAAGTTCTCCTGAAGAGACTTTAAAGGTACTCAGAAACCATGCATCGCTCGTTACTGCCACCTATTGTTTTCATTTTTCCTGATAATTTGAAGAGAAAGAGAAGAATTGACAATCCTTTCACGTGGACACGTTCAAATTGAAATCAACAGCGCAACAACCAGTTGAGCAAACTAACTAGTTGGTACAGTAGTTTCGCCTGACAGAGTCATAGTAATAAAGGGAAGAAATGTCCTTTCTTTAACATAAATTTCAAAACAAACTCTTACTTGAAATACTGAACTGTTAGGAAAAATGTTGCTTCCATATCCGTTATGAAAGTGAAATGGTTAGAATGAACTATAACTTAGAAAAACATAGATAAACGGTGGCCAACTTGTACATGGAACAGCCAATTTTCTGAACAGTTAACTGACCTCGCATGGAGTAATACGGTCGGGATATATGGCCACTAACAACCTTAAACTAACAAGCTGAGAGATGGGCTAAAGTAGGAACCTTAGTTGAGCTTCGAACACGCGATTATCCATAGCAGAGACTCACATGATATCCACTGCATCAACCGAGGTCACTGTTTTGCCTTTCCCTCAGCCACGTTTTTTACTCTTTCTGCGTCATCAGCAATCACACTTTCACACCTCTTGACGAGTGATTGAGGCTAATTGAGGTTCTGAGTTTTGCTCAAACTCCAGCATCTTTGTGGTTCAACTTCACACAGTACGCTGCCATGAAAAAGGAATAAAAGTAAATAAGAGTTAAAAAATTTTAAACCAACATAACTTAGCTCACAGTGAGTTTAGCTGATTTAGACACAAACTACTAGAATCTCCAGATATTTACTCCAAAATATAGCCATTTTACAACGAGAAGATTTTGATTTCTTGGAATCCATGGAATGCACTCTTTTACGTTTTGCCTAAAGATGTAATTGAAACGCAAAAGCAACTGCACAAGCGGCGTTTCCTCCAGCGCGAGATGATGGTGCCCCCAAAAATTTAGAGTACACCTTCAACTGTTAGAGAATTTAGATTACGAACAATTCTCAAACTGAAAGAATAACTTATGAAAATTAATTGTGTGCTTTTAGAGTAGCAAAGCAAACTATTGTAATTTTACAAGTTCTCAACTCATCTGTAAAATTCTAAACATCGCCGTTACTTCGCTGGAGGACAAATTATCGTCTTTTACCGAAAAACCAACTTTGGGGTGAAATCTTTCAAATAGTGCGAGGGTCGGGTGATGGCACTAGTAAAGTTCCTAATCATCTCGTGTGTGGCCCGATATTGTCGTAGATATCCGCTGTTTTTGGCGAACAGTGTCGCCAAGCTCTACAGTCGGCTGATACTGCATACACGTGTTTTACCGTATCCTGCGGCATGTATGGAATGCGATTGTTTTGGTAACTATGCGTAAACGTCTCCTATTTTCTTTTCATTCACTTAATTGCAGCCTTTTGATGAAACAATGCAGGACAGAATCGGCATTTAAGGAAGCACAGCGTGATTAAGTTGATATGAAAAGTGTAAGTCAACCTGACGCCCCCACATTTGAATCCACTCACGTCTCAGTGCAAGCACCTAGCCGCTTTCATCAGACTGCAAACTCCCAGTAATACGTCACGTAGCACATGACTAGCTGGTTCGAGATGCCTTACATGTTGAGGTTATGGGCGATTACTTATTATCAAATAAATGGCCTAGAAAGAAATGACGAGACAGCTACATCAGTACCACTCAATAGGGATTACTGGTAGAATGATTTATTCAAACAAGAAGTGTTGAAATAATTCTGACAAACAAAATAAGTGCACAGTATGAGCAAAGCGCTGGATCGATCGACTCCGCCTTGGACTTGCCACGCATTCCGTCCCGCCGGTGTCGAAAAATCAGTTAACAGATCTGTCTGAGAACAGTTCGCTATTTGCAATCCCTAAAAGATGATGACTGATTTTGATGGAGAACAGGGAACACCCTCCCACGGTTAACTCAAGGCTTCCAGAGAGAATTGACTCGAATAGTTACGTTTATGCCATGGTTAAATAAAAGTTGGTTTCTGCAGATGTAGTACCACACTATGTGCCAGCTTGTGTACCACGGATTTCTGCAGGACGCATTGCCGCGCAAATCAGATCATATTGGATGGCGGTAATAGATAAAAATCCGTCGTGTACAAAGGAGCACCGTCGAGTGAAGTTCTTCATTCGATCGGTGCACCACTTCGTTGGATTCGACTCTATGCCATAACGAACACCCACAACGTGACAACGAGCACCTGTGGACCATCGACTTGGATGAATGTGGGTCTGAAGAAGAGAAAGACTTCGAAACGCTAGCCGCATAAATATTTTGTACCAACCTCGTGTCAGCTCAACAATCCGAGAAGGTATTACGATATATGCCGAGGTTTTCTTTGAATAAAAGTCGCTTTTCACAGGTTTTTGACTTGACCAGTATTCAGCGACACTAATGAACAAGATAGTAATCCCAAACCAGCAACCGAACTCACAAGCAAAGTTCGAAGGCTTCTATGAATGGTTGGTAGGAGGGAACAAGTCCGCTGCAATAAGTGATGGAATCTGCACAATATATGATGTCGGGTCCTGTAAAATAAACAAGTAATATTTCGAAACCGACTTTCCCTGAACCTCGGTATCACTTATTACATATCGGTAATATCCTATCCTATCCTATCTATCTATATTCTATTCTATACCTATATCCTTAATACATATTAAACAAGTAATGATAAAAACTACATCTGTAACACATGGACGGTTTCAAACTTCTGGGATACCGGGGGTCCTTAGACGGTCCGTCTTTACGAGCTGTGCGGACCCCAGC